CTCGTTTCACGTTTCTACCCCGTTATTTAACACGCCACCTTCATGTCATCTCCAATCTGCTCTAAAAAGAGTTGGGAATGCTCATGTTCTGCTAGGAAATGACGGTGTTATCACCTGCTGATCTTCCATAAATGTTCCTATTGCATCACTGAATAACCCCAAAGAATTGACAGGCTTGCTTGCATTAGCCTGTTGTACATGTAAAAATGATACGTCCCTTTGTGGGGATGGTGTCATGATAGTAGGAAAAATAAAACTCACCATAGGAAAATCTTCACTTTAAATACTTCCATTTATAAAATAGCGATGTCATCCAACACCTTTAAACTACCATGGTTACAACTTGATGGACAAAATTGAGAAGTTTATGCTATTTGTCTGATGTCCTACTATCCTACTTCCTGTATGTAGTACTTGTCTCTTCAGGAATGTTATTTTTATTTATGATCATAAGTAAAACATAGCAGATATGCGAAATCGAAAAACGAACAAGGGGTCTGGAGGTATACTGCAGTATGACATACCTCAAAAGAATATACAGAATATGAGAAAAAGGACGATAGTAAACCTGCAACATGCTATCCGTAATCCAAGTATTTCTGACTCACGGCAGACACACGCAAAGTCATTAGTGATTTCAGTATGTTGAGAAAATGTTAACTATATAAAGCAGTCCCTGAAGAGAGCGCGGGTGTTGTGTTTTGTTCTCATACTTTAGAACCGACTTGTTTTCTTTGCTTGCTATTCAGGATAAACATCAAATTAATCGCGACTCTATATATCTTTCGATATTATATGTATTAGTTGAACAAAGCAAATTACCTAGCAGTCATTTAAGCCAATCTGAAGTTACGCACAGTGTAATTCTAAAGAGATATACACCACCGAATAAAATAGAAAAAACGAAATATATGATTGACCATTATAAAGTAAGGCTAAGATATTTATGCTGTGTTTAAGGAAAGTATTAAGTGCATTTTACAGGTATATTTGCGTAGCACTTATGAACTCCCAAACCAAACCACATTGCGAAGACAGAGTTGAACGTCAAAAGAAGCATTCTTACGGGTAATACCAAATGTTGTAAAACAGCGAGATATTATCTCAGTGTTCCACTAAGAGCTTAGTTAGGGAGCAAACTGAAGAACCGATAAGAGGGGAAAAATTCAGTTTCGATGTAGTGTGACATATTATGCTGATAAAACCAAACAAATGAACTTACATTCGGAGCAGTAATCATGAAAACGAGAAAACGTGTAGGTATCATGAAATTCCTCAATTCACTAAAATGTCTACAACCTTCTTATCGTTTAGAGTATGGACCTACGTGATACTTGGTATTAGTAGCTTTCAACATAGCTATTTGGTAATGAGCCAAAGTCAGGTATTTAGAAACAGGCTGGATATTGTACTACAACATTTGGATTGTGTGACTTGACCCTGTTCATTGGGTGACAACATACGCCAAAAGTCATTGAGCTAAGCACCCCCTAAGAAATTGGGGCAGACGAAATTTCATGGATAAAACATAGTAAGTATAAGGAGTCTAAAGTTGCGCCTTTTATCTCGCTGATAAGCTGTTTCTTCCTACTTATATCTTTTACATACGACTTGTCAAGCCTTAGGATTTTGCCCGCATTTTACCACTTATCCACTGTTCCTACAGTTCAATGTGCAGCTGACAAGGTAAAGTAACATAGTGGATGGTTCACCAAAGTTATGTGAACGCTATACAATGTAACGTGGCTTGAGTGCCTTAAAACAGCTTGAGGAGCACCGCTCAAACTATTTGGAGTCCGGCAGTTTTGATACTTTCCCGTGAAGCGATGGTGTGGTGCTCAATGTGAGGAAGTACAAAACAGCCTAAGAATTTCAAATCTATTTTTCGGTACCAGTGGTTCTATTGACGCCTGGTTAGGTCGTCAAGGTAGGAAGTACTAGATTTTCCTAGATCTTAGTGAATCCGATGAGCAAAAGTAAGCTACATCGGTCAATCAGTTACTGAGCCCGTTTCCTACCATGACAGTTCATGCATTTCCGTAAGCTTGTGATAGACAGACTATCGAGTTAAGAAAGAAGTAACCATAGTACACGGGCAGAAACTTTTGCGTGCAATCAAACTAAAAGAGAAAAATTTGAATTATGAATTAATATAGCCATTCACTTTTCACTCGCATTCAGTAGATTTAGACTAGTCCGGAACTGTACCAGACGGATGTGTTTTGATCTGCTGGGTCTCCTCAGTGGTGTGCATTCCAGCGTATCACTGCCGGGTTCTGCTTTTCCATGCACAGTTGGTAACTGGCATGACAGCAGAAGATTAACAGAGCTATATCATAGTCGTGTCAATCATGTAGGTCCGGCACTATCACCCATGGCGAAATGGCGCTAGCTGCTAGAATATTTGCTTCAGATCCCTGAGGCCTCCATATCTAATGACCTACTTCATGCCGACAACTTAGTTCTCCCCTCGCAAGTTCTTAACCGCTTCATCTTCTCAATCCAAGCGTTTACTCTTAGTCTTTAGACAGTCCCTTCGTCCTAGCTTCATAAATGTATTGGAAAGCGTCTCCTGACCCATATCCGGATATAAGACAGGTCCAAGACCACTGAGGCACCATGCATATTAATCTCTCTTACCAGCAAGTTTCTTTCATCCAGCATAATTGACACCTTTCTCTGCATCAACATATCTACTCTTTCTCAGGCTTTCATAAGTAAGTATTTCCTTCCGTTTATTAAAATCCCGGCTGTTTTCCATGTCGTTGTTCAGTTTTCACAGATATCTGCTTCCTAAAAGCAACAAAACTTTTGCCGTTTTACTTCAAAGAATTTGCTCTCCTATACAGTCATCATACCGCCATCTGGTGGGGCCTTTCAAATCCATCGTTGCTGTTCCGTTGGAATATCAATTTACATTACTGACTGAGGATATTTTAATATTATTTGAGCCACGAAGACTACTTGTTTTCTTCTGAACAAGTATCAAGGTCAATCATATACTACACTGTCAACGATTTGATCATGATACGCTTTACTGCCTGGAAAGATGACTCGACGGGAACCACGAAAGTAAAATGTTGGGGTCATTGTGCGGCACATCTAGTACGCAAGTGTGATGATTGTAAAAGTGCTGGGGCTCAGCGCGCGGTATCGTCATAAAAAGCAGGATTAGAAAGGGCGTTTTATTATCCTTTTTTAATAGGCATCATTCTTAATATGTCATAATGTAAATACCAACACACAGGAACAGACTAATAGAAATACCATAAGATTATTACAATGTCCTTGATTAAAAATCCCGCAGCCACAACGAAATACACATTTAAAAAAATGTTCAATTGATAAATGTAATGCAGATAAATATATTTGTCCTATTTGCAAAACGTTTTAGAGGTCTGTAACTGATGACTCTTCAAATTAGACTAAAACTTCCCCAATATATTGTTGCGTATATATGTTTTAGAACATCCTCATGCCATTATCGCCGCGATTACTTAGCAGTAATATGAGATTACTTTGGAAAGGGACGCCTAAAGTACCTTTCAAAATTGCAATCATCATTTTCCTAATTTGGACGTCCGTAGTGGTCTAGAGATTTTCCAGTATGATGTGTAAACTATTACCAAATTAGAATTTCATCTGTACCTAGGGAAATTAAGCGGTGTATCTGTCGCTTGCTAACCACTTTTGTTTAGATACACGAAATTCCGAACTTCGACCTCCGCAGTCCAGCTCCTACCTTATCGGAACATTCTTTCTTTCCTTTCCCTAATTAGCTTTGTTTGGGTGCCGTTTTAGCCAAGCGAGCCTGTACCTTTCGACAATAAATGTGCACCTCACCCATTTTTACTTGGTTTTCCTTTTCCAACGGTTTCTCGGTTTGAAACAATTAGCTCCCTTGAGCATTTTAAACAATGCTGTGAGAAGATGAAAGCTGACAGATGTTAATATTTCGTATTGTTTCGTCAGTTCCAATAAAATAACCATGGTAGAGACAAAGATGAGTGCAGAAATTTCCCACCTTTCCTACTACAAACGCTACGTGGACGATATATTAGTGTTCTCGTCATCAACAATAAAGATCGCACGTCTTGTCGAACATTTTAATAGTGTATATACAAATTTGAGAGTAACCAGCGAAGTAGAATGTAACAACCGTCTCCCATTTTGGACATACTGATTAGTCGTAGAGAAAACGGTCTCATCAAACTATCTGTTTATCGAAATCCGACATGGTCCGGGCAGTACCAGCATTTTATGAGCTTTACTCCTTTCGGTACAAGCGAACACTACTCAGGACCTTGTTCAATCACGCAAAAGGAATATGCAACCCCGATTGCCTGGAAGAGGGACAGGAGCTTTTGACTAATGCGCTCTTGGAAAACGGTTATCCTCGCCGGCTTTTTTGTAAAATATAGCCAGACGAGAGTGGCAAGAGAAAAAGTTCCCACTGTAGCCAAAAATATCTTAATAGAACTACCGTTTAAAGGTGATCCTTCCACCATGAGGACAACCAAGCTATTAATTTGCGCTGTTCACAAGACTTATTTTGCTGCTGAAGCTGTGTTATTAACCGAACCAAAAAGTGCCTGTTCCCCCAACGAAGGAAAGACAAACTTTCGGTGCCATTTCACACTGCATTTGCCAATTCACTTGTAGCTGCGAGTCACGCTGCATAGGCCGTACCGAGAAAATGTTGAATCCCAGCGTAAGGGAACATGTACCTAAGTGGGTGCAGCGTGAAATTTTCCAGTCTTCCTCTTCGTCTACCACCTGTTCACGAAAGTCACTTGCCTCATCCATAGGTAGAAACTTAATGGCCACTAGTCATCCATTCGACCCTGCCACACTGTTCACAATCTGGTTGCGACATGCTAACAACCGCATTCTACATTTCGCCGAGGTTTGTCGGTTGTGCGAATTTGGCCTCCGTCTTTCAATTTCCCTATAATTGGCGACCATGCATACAGATACTTGCGGTAAGGCAGATACTAACGAATACGTAGTACCACTAAGCATGTAACGCACGCTTCCGAGACACGTAATCCCAGCAAGCAGAAGACGTCTAAGCAGCAGGAGGTTTATCAATCAATTGAGGAAGGTACAAGACTCACGGAACTCGCGTTGCGAGACCGGGGGTGTGTGTCTGATGATTGGCTGGCTGTTTTGTGTGGTAACCAATCCACGCACGGCTGAGTAAACGGATCGAAGTCATTCGCGTACGTGACATCCCCTCACCTCTTGAAATGTTTATACTCCTGGCACGAACCGGTCAACGGGTTTATGCGTACGTTGAGATCTGCGAAGCGTTGGTTCATCTGACGATTGTAAAGAATCCTGGGGTTTTGCTTCCGTTTCCGGCTGAACGGTTGCTGATTCACCCAGACGTTCATCTGCTGTTGTCCCCACAAAACGTGATCGTATATGGTCCGAGTGTCGCCTTACTATTCGACCATTTAATTCAAGATCGGCTTGGGTACAGTCACCTTTAATTACGGTTGCGGGTTGCCAGCAGTGCTCATGGGGAAGTCTTGTGTATACGGGATCACCCGGCTGCCAACTAGAGTCGTGGTTATTTTGCGATGCGGCAGCCTTGTCTTGTTTCTTCTCCATTTGTGCTCTATGATTTGGAAACAGAAGATCCAGTCTGGTACGGAGTGTTCTGCCAAACATCATCTCCGCGGGTGATTTACCAGTGGCTTCCGAGGGCGTTATTCTGTAAGCAAACAGCAAGCGATCTAACCTCGTCTGAACAGTTCCTGGTGCTTGTTTCGAGAGACCTCTTTTAATTGTCTGTACCGCCCTTTCCGCTAGCCCATTAGAAGCAGGGTGATACGGAGCTGTACGGATATGCTGGACACCATTGCTATTCATGAAGATTTCAAATTCTTTGCTAGTGAAACATGGCCCATTGTCTGTGCAGAGTGTCTCCGGTATCCCAAATATTGCAAATGACGACCGCATTTTGGAGATAGTTGTCTCTGTAGTAGGGTGGGCAACGGGATAAACATCTATCCATTTCGAATGAGCGTCAATTAGCAGCAGGAAGAATACACCATTAATGGGTCCAAAGTAATCCGCATGGATGCGCTGCCATGGCTTTTCAGGCCAACGCCAATTGTGTACCGGACCGGGAGGTTTATTTGACTGATACTGCTGACACAAACCACATGTTTTTAGATAGTTCTCTATCTCTGTATCTAGGCCAGGCCACCAGCAATAACCGCGCGCCAAGGCTTTCATTCGGGCTACGCCTGGATGTGCGTTGTGGAGTTCCTTTATGATGAACGGCCGTGCCTTTAGCGGTGGAATCAGGCGCGATCCCCAAAACAAGCATCCATCGTGAAGGCTCAATTCATTTTTCCGTTGTGCGTAAGGTTTAAGATCGACGGGAACTGTAGTAGGCCAGCCGGTTTTTGTAAATCGCACTACAGAAGATAGCGTTGGGTCACGATCGGTCCACTGACGTATGGTGTCACCTGTCAATGGAGTGGTGTCGAGGTGTTGCATTAGATTTACAAGCTCTACTGGTTCCTCCAGTATTTCGTCTGGGGTCGCATGTGGTAACCTGCTTAATGCATCCGCTGTATGATTGTTCAACCCAGGAATATACGAGATTCGATATTTATATGCACTTAATATTAATGCCCAGCGTTGCATTCTCGGTGAAAACATCTGCTCGATTCCCTTTGACTCGCTCAGCAAAGATATCAGTGGTTTGTGGTCAGTTTGTATTTCGAAATAGTTCCCCCAAATGTACTGATGAAACCTCTTGACGCCAAATATAACTGACAGGGCTTCTTTATCCAGCTGGGAGTAATTCTTTTCGGCTGGTTGTAAAGTTCGTGAAGCAAATGCAATCGGGTGTATGATACCATTGGACATTTTGTGACATAGAACTGCTCCGACTCCGTATGGAGAGGCGTCACATTGTAAGATTAACGGTTTTTCACTATCGTAATGGACCAAAACAGGTGCGGAAGCAAGACACTTCTTTGCACAAGTAAAAGCAGATTGATGCTCACTTTTCCACATCCACGGGATGTTTTTGTGTAACAGTTCGTTTAATGGAGCAAGAATGGTCGAGGCATCAGGTAGGAAACGACGATAGTGGGACAGCATTCCCAGGAATGATCGTAGTTCATCGCTATTCTTGGGCTGAGGTGCCTGCACAATAGGCGCTATCTTATCTTGCAGGACATGCAAACCGGTTTTGTCCAGTTTGTAACCAAGGTAACAAACAGAATCGGATAAGAACTCACATTTGGACTTTTTTAATTTTAACCCACACTCTTCCAGACGCAGGAGAACAGTTCGCAATGTGTTTAGGTGATCAGAGTCACTGCGACCAGTAACAAGGATATCGTCCAAGTATGCACAGGTGAACGGTATATCTTTAACTATATTATCCACTATACGTTGGAAAATGCTGGGTGCTGAATTTATTCCAAACGGGAGACGCGTGTACTGGAATAGTCCGAGGTGGGTAGTTATTGTGGTCAGTTCCTGTGACTCATCATCAAGTTCGACCTGAGAGTATGCGTGACTGAGATCTAGCTTGGAAAACTTTTGGCCGCCGGCTAAAGTCGCGTACAAGTCTTCAATACGTGGTAGGGGATATTTTTCCACTTTCGACGCTTGGTTGACTGTCAACTTGTAGTCCCCGCAAATACGGACGGAGCCGTCAGGTTTGAGTACAGGTACAATGGGAGTGCCCCAATCCGAATGTTGCACCGGAACTATGACTCCTTCTGATTGTAGACGTTGTATCTCTGCCTCAACTTTAGGGCGCATTGCATAAGGTAATGATCTAGCTTTGTAAAATTTTGGTTCGGCACCCTCTCGGAGTTTGATGGAAGCCTTGAAATGACGCATTTTTCCCAGTTTATTTTCAAACAACGATGAGAACTCGTTCAATAATCCATTCAAACTGCCGTCTTCAACAGTGAGTTGGTTGAGTTGCATGGTCTCGGGAAAGAACTGTATCCAGTCTCGACCCATGAGATTCGGTTTGTTCCCAGGTACAACGATTAAGGGCAGGGTGAATTCTCGCTCCCCGTGCCTGGCTTTAACGAAACATCTGCCCAACACCTGAATTGGATCACCTGTGTACGTCTGTAATCTCGAGTTGCACGGTAGCAAAGGTGGTAGCTTTTTCATTGAACCGCGGTTTACAATGGTGACCGCCGCCCCAGTATCTAGCTCCATGTCTACCGGTTCATCCTCTATCATCAAACGTATTGTATAAGGAGGACAGTTTTTGTGTGTCACACTCTTCAAGTACACGGAGTTAAGCTCACTGTTCAAATTTTTTAGGACATTATCTTCCCGTAACTCTATCTTGCTTTGACGATTTGATGAGGCGATGTTCGTGGGGCGGGAACTTTCCGATCTACAGACGCGTGCTAGATGACCTATCTTGCCACATTTCCGACAGATACTTTCTTTGTGCCGGCAATCGGAAGCGTGAGAATGCCGCAAACCGCAACGATAACACACAAATTGTTTTCGATTTTCACTGCTGTCTGATTTACGGATCGCCTGCACATCATCAGCTACCGGCCGACCGGTGAACTCGCGTAACTGGTGTGTAATGTTCTCACGTTGGCGAACGATGAGACAAACGTTTTCCCACGTGGTGGCCGACTCATCCAAGGATAGCAACTTCTCTCTAGCAGTTTCGTCCGATATTCCCGCAATCAAACATTGAATTTTCATTTGCTCTTCAATTTTTCCAGGTGGAATATCATTATACTTACAATCAGGAATGGATTGGTGAATATGTGCAATAAAATCATTGACGCTTTCGTTCGGCTTTTGGACAAGTTTTGAAAAGCAGTATCTAGCAGTGTAAACATTTTGTTTCAGCCCCCATAACGTGGTATAAGTATCCAAAGCAGAACTGAGGGTGGCATAATTTTCCAGTTGTAGGGCATCGTAGTGTCTCTGACCTTCATCGCCAAGCACCTGCCTGAATAGTGTGATTTTGTGAGCCTCAGAAAGACAAACGGTCGGATTCAGTACAGGAAGTAATTCCACGTAGTTAGTAAATGATTTTCTCCATCTTATCCAATTCGATAAGGTCGGTTTTTCCTCAGCAGATGACCAGAATATAGGAGGTGTATTCAACATTGGGTTCGTCATTTTCGTCGCCACTAATACGTAGTACCACTAAGCATGTAACGCACGCTTCCGAGACACGTAATCCCAGCAAGCAGAAGACGTCTAAGCAGCAGGAGGTTTATCAATCAATTGAGGAAGGTACAAGACTCACGGAACTCGCGTTGCGAGACCGGGGGTGTGTGTCTGATGATTGGCTGGCTGTTTTGTGTGGTAACCAATCCACGCACGGCTGAGTAAACGGATCGAAGTCATTCGCGTACGTGACACTAACCTTCCTTTTCCGGATTTGCCCGTATATCCCTCTCGCTTTCTTCATTCTCTCCATATTTAGATTAGCTGATTTATTTTCGCTAACTTAAACTTTGTATACATGCATGTCATACTTTTAGAGGATGACGCTAACATAAGTGTTGTACCGTACCAACTCCGCCTTTTCATGAAAGAAATTTGAAAAGCTGGTTTGCTGCCCTCGAATCCATGTTTCGGTGTGTTATGTCGGATCTGGAAAGGTCAAAAATCACCTCAAAGTCGTAGCAATTCTTCCGAAGGTTGTTGATAATCCCGATGATATTCTAGGTCCCACTAATCACCGACGACTTGCGCGGAGAACAAAGTTGCCGTTTTAACGGAAACTAATATTTCAGATCACCACCACTTCACGAATTTGCTTAGCGAAACCGTGCTAGGTGATTTGAAACCATATCGGTTCCTGTGTAAGATGCAGAGTATTTTAACATTCTTTACGCTAAGGTAAACATTTCTCTATTTCAGATGGCCAAGATGGCTGACCGGATCTGGGAAGCTTACAACCAAATTGCGCGCATCTAGTCAACGTCGCACAATAACATCGCGCAGTTAGCATCAACTTTGCTACTTTAAGCAAACAACTCAAGGAAATGGTGGCTTTAGAAAAAGCCGGAAAGAACCGCTCTAGAAAACGATTCCGTTTCTCCAGTTAAAGGTATCCTTCACGATCCTAGTCTAAGATATCTTATCATCACTAGTACCACAGAAGATTTGGTGAGAATGCTAAATCTTGTCGCATACCCTGCTTCTTCTCAAATAGGCGGACCGAACAACAAATAGAGGCGAGGGACGTGATCATGTGATCATGTCTGGTGACCTAGTGGGTTGCATCCATCGGTCGGCGCGAGCTATTCATTATGAAACTTAACACCCATTTGCTGTGAGCAAAAACCGTCTCCATCACCGCCAATAAATCCTAACATATCTCTAGCAACTTTGAGCTGCCATATGTTAATTGGCTGCTGGCTACGCACATGGTCATCCGGAGAATGAGTAAGTAATCTCATGTATATGTCTCAAGTGGTGGACTCAGCAAATCAGTGAGTCTACCAGAAGTACCACTATCCTAGTTTTCGTATTCACAATTGGATACTTTCTGCAGATGTAACGGTTGAACACCCCCTACCGTACGCTGATCACAACACTGTACTTTGTAACATAACTTTTGAATCATCTAAGCCATCAAATGCGGTATTATAACAAATGGAAACCTCTATCGAGTTGACTGGAACGCATTTAATCAATTTATCAGTACCACGAGCTGAACAACCTCATTCTCTACCCATAAATCTTTAGTAGCTGCAAAAGTATTTTTCAACGGTATACTCCCACGTATCGGGGTTTTGGCACCGGTCATACGGTGCGATACTGACAAATGCCTCTCCACGAAGGTGCAACTAATCTGAAGTAATATAAAACTCTGTATCGCAGAAGCAGCACCATCACTACATTGAAACTGATATATTAACTACCATTGTAACAATGGTATTTAAACCAGACAAGCAAAAGCAATGCTCAACTTCGGGCAATTAAAACTCCTGAAAAGGTGTGCACCTTGATTCAGCTACCCAGAAGATAAAGCCCATTAGGTTATCAGAAACTAAAGGCGCTGATGTTAGACAATAGTTCATTAACGCGCGACGTCCCCCGTTTCTGCGAGTCAATCAAATCCAGCATTGCCTCGTTATTTGTTCTTAACTCTCAGCTGTCTCACCCCCATTATATAAGGACAAACTAGCTACTCTGCAATGTTCATGAGACATTGAGAGTGCATAACGCCACAGCGCATGTAAGGACGTCATGCTGTCAGAGCCCAGATAGCATCCTCCAAGCTGTCATAAAGCTAGGTCGAAAAATATCCATCGTTATTAAATGGCTTTAACCGTTCACCAACTACTTGCTGCTTTCTAGCGCAGTGAAAATCCTCCATAATAATGCCTTAGAACAAAGTTGGCCAACGAAACGCATTGACAAGTTATGGCCCGATAAATTACAGTTCCATTGCTTCTAAAGTCCTAGAAAGTATATTCAAATTAGCGTTGTACAATGTACTATATAATTGAGCCTGATCAATCGCTTTCAAATTGCTTTTTTCTCCAAGCGCTTAAATTGCATCGATCAAATTAGAATATGATTGACAGAGAATTGGTAATCATCGCAATTCTTTTAGACACGCAAAAGGCTTTCGACTGTATGCCACCCAGTCCACTGTTTTCCATGATAATGTCGTATGGCATTGGAAGCACTTTGTTAAGCTGGTTCTACTCAAACCACACCGATCGCAATGAGGCTAGACTTGGTCGTAGTGAGATGGTTTGAGTGCTTCAGTGATTCATTGAGCTATGCTCTGTGGTGCATTTTTGCACCTTCGGAGCCACTCATATCAAGTTGGTCAATGGATAGAGGCCAGAAAATCTCAGACTCCTGGTCTTACCGTTTGTGGATGGAATGAAAGTGACTTTCTATTGCTTAAAACCACGACCCCTTGTAGCCCACTGCAAAACCCGCTGCCTTGCTGTCAGGGTTTTAAACAAAACGCTTTATTTGATAAACCAAATCGATCTTCTATCTACGCTTGGGCAACCTGACAGTATCCTGCCCACCCAATGCAAGGAGGTTCTCTGCAAACAATATCTTGATGCTCTGGCAGTCGCAGACGATAATAGACCATGCCCATCTGCCGCAACAAGCAGTGTGAATAAGGGTTTGGATGCTACTGCTCAAGCCTGTCCATCTTTTTATTCACTCGCTTACGCTTTTTCAAACTTATCGTCCCGTTCCAACTCCAATTTTGTCCCACCACTATTAAACCCACCGATTCATGGCCCTCCCCAAACATGATTTGCTAAGCGTTTATTTTTTTCAGCTCACATGCAGGCGCGGAGCATCACTCATGTCCTGTCGACAAGCCCATGTTCAATCAAGCGATCCACCCCAATTCGTCGTGTTCCATCAAGAGCCCTCGATCCTCCTTCAGATTAGCATGCTTCAATGTACGCACACTTCTAGAGAGCGATCGACTGACTGCACTTGCCCACATATTAAAGACGTTCTCCATCGATACCTGCTGCATATCGGAGACCCAGTTGCACGACTCTGGCTCTGGCTCACTCTGTGATCGGCTTCAGGTGACACCAGCAGTATGTTTTCATTGCGCCTATCCAGTAATGATGCAGCTTCGAACACCGGCCAAGCCAGCTTTGGTATTGCCGTGAGTCCTTGGGCCGAAGTTGCTCTGGTTGATTAAATCCCAATCAGTAGCCTAATGTGTGGGTCCGATTGGCTGGTTTGTGTAACGCTTCAAAGTCGCACGAGACTTGTATTTGTCTATTTGTCATTGCTGCCTACGCACACACAATTTCTCGCAATGATTCAGAAAAGACGACTTTTATGGCTAAATGACGAAGCTTTCTCGCCACAGAAGAAGCACGGGCACTGTTGTGCTGGCGGGGGATTCGTGTGCTTAACATGGAACATTACCCATCGAGGAACTGAATCTGGCGGCCATCACGGCGTAGGCTCTGGTGAAGATAACGGTGAGCGGTTACTTCACTTGTGTGAAGATGCTCACTTATTTCTTACGAGCGCTAACATCCGACACAGCACCCGCCGGAGGGTGACTTGGCGACCACCAGCCTTGAACAAATGTAATGCTGTTAAACTGTCTTACGTGGCTTTTTACAGGGAGAACGCTTGCCAGGCGAAAACCCACCACATCCTGTTGCACTGCACCAAACAGTTGGTACCCCGAAGAAGTCATATTTTCGTTGTCGATTGAGCAGCAAGAGATTGCTGACAAGCCATATGCCAGTGATTGGACGCTTGACAGGTGGGATCACAGTCAGGTAGTTATGTTTTGATTCAGGAAAGGTGCGTTAATAAATTGCTTTGAAGGCTATTTTGCTTGCAGGCCTTGGCTGCTCCAATCCTCCGAATAACTGAATCCAGCTCCACGAACCGTATAGCAAAAGCTCGAAGTGCTTTTGATAGCCTTTGCCAACTACCGCGCCGGCGCGACATCACTCTCGCCCTGCAGTGTAGAGTGTACAATGCAGCGGTACTTTCGACCCTACTGTACGGTTGTGAAATGTGACCCCTTAGATCAGCGGAAAGAAGTGGCTCGTTACGTTCGACCGCCGGTGCCTTCGCATTTTGACTCACATCTAGTGGGAAGACCGCGTGAGCATCGAGCGTGTTCGACGCCTTATTTACAGTACAGGAAGAGGAACTGAACCGCTCAATGCCGTCCGTACACGCACGTAGCTCCGCTGGCTAGGCTAGGTGTTAAGCATGCCCGCCCACCGGCGCCCAAGATGAACGTTATTTGCGAGACGGGGGTATGGATGAAGGAAAAGGAGAGGTGGATAAGCGATAAGTTTGTCCAGAAGAATACCGACCCACACTTCGAAGCTCGATTTGGTTAGAGTGTCACAGCTCCCTGATTACTGTCCAAAACAGGATGAACGCACTTGGCTAGATACACTTGCTGACATGGCCAGGATCCGACCTCAGAGGCGTTCGTGCTGTGCGTTTGTTTATCCCTCCCAATCCCTATTAGCCTTCCCCTCCAACAACTAACTCATTTCTTAGCATAAAACAAATTTTGCTAAATAAATTTTTGCAGCATATTAGCCGGCTGGTAGCTCTCCGGTACGATGCCCATCAGCAACTGGTACCCCAGCTGGCATCCATCTGCTACATCATTTTCTTTTGTATTACGGCATATTAGCTGAGGCTTTTCCACCTCTAGCTACGTTTTAGATATTTGATTACCGGTCAAACTCAAAGAGTCCAAAGGGGTCGCACTAGTCCCTGCTAAAACAACTAACAAGCTGTGTGTTCCAGAGAGTTTTGCTTGGAGCAATGCTT